CATTCAACTTGTTCAGCTGACTTGAATATAAGTAGGACTTAACATCTTAGTTAATCCATTCCCTTATATAATAAATTAATCATCCATAAGTCATTCAACTTGTTCAGCTGACCTGACTTAAATATAAGTAGAACTTAACATTTTAGTTAATCCATTCCCTTATATAAAATAGGTAGGACTTAACTGATAAGTTAATCCGTCCCTAGAATGCCACCATCCCATACCGGTGCATTAAACCACACAATCCAACAATTAATGTAACGATTAAGGAAATACATCAAACAATCTAAAAATAACTATGATAATATGATATCAAGTTATCACAAAATAGGAATGACTAATTATTTATTTAAGCTTCCTATATCATATGTCCTACATAAACTGAATCTTATACATATGATGATATTTTATTATACCGTTAAATAAGCATTCTCCATATCCAATTCATCCTACACATTTAATCTCAATTGCTAAAACATATTAAAAGATTAAATTCATTCGTTTGTTTAAAACATTCAAATAGCAAGCATCATTATGATTGAGTCTATTTAAATTTATTTAAACCCAAACCTAGTTTCTATTTAATGTTCAGGAATCCTAGACATGTTTTTACGTTCCATCGTTCCACATATATGAAAAATACATAATTTAAACATGTAAAAATTCACACTGGAAATCAAATCAAAATCATGCATTTATCAATTCATAACACAAGAACAGATATGAACCAAATTCATAAAACCTATGTTTTAATCCAATTAAACATGCATAATTATTTAATTTTATGTGTTTAATAAATTCTGGAATTTCCTAGGCATGTACAGAAACACGAATCAAAGGGAAAGAGATAGAAGAAGAACTTGCCTTAAACTTTTGAATCGAAAGTTAAACTTCTTCTTCCTTGATCTTCTCTCTACAGGGTTTTTTCCTCCTTCCATCCTCTTTCTCCTTCTCTCTCTAACTCTTTCTCTATAAAATATATTACGTGATATGTTTTCACTCCTTTTTCAACCTATAGTTGTGTATTTATAGGCTAAATAATAACCCTATTCCTTTTCCCAATCCAAGTCAACTTAATAAAGAAAAATAAAAAATGAAAATATTAAAAAGGTAACTTAAAATATGTTACGTATATAATCTATGTATATCCTTATTAATTAAATAAAATATATACATTAGATTATTTATTAATACTAAAGTTATCATAATATTAAAAGGTAACTTAAAACATGTTGCGTATATAATCTATCTATATCCTCATTAAATAAATAAAATATATACATCAGATTATTTATTTATACTAAAGTCACCATAATATTAAAAAGTAACTTAAAACATGTTACGTATATAATCTATCTGTATCTTCATTAAATAAATAAAATATATACATTAGATTATTTATTTATACTAAAGTTACGATAATATTAAAAAGGTAACTTAAAACATGTTACGTATAAAATATATGTATATCTTTATTATATAAATATATAAAATATATACATCAGATTATTTATTAATACTAAAGTTACTATAATATTAATAATTACTTTCCTTTTTATATATATGTATATACATATATATCTATATATATACATATACAATTATCCATGGGTAATTATCCATACCCATCCAACCTCCTATCCAAGTAGTCCATGGGACCCAATTAGTTAGTCCATTACCACTAACCATAACCATAAAATAAAATAAAATAAAATATTTAATCATTTAATTTATAATTAATTATAATTAATTAAATACATCATTTAAGCACCCAATCTAATTAAACAAATAATACAAATAACTCCTAGACAAAATACAAATAATACATAGATAAGTAGCCAATTAATCAAGTAACACTTAATTCAATTAAACACATAAATAATTAGTCAAATAACCAATTAAACAATTAAAAAAATACAATAAAAATAAATAAATAAATACCGAGACTATCCTTTTAAAATTAGGGATATTACAAGTTTCATCTATTTTGAGGTAGGATTATTTAAATCTCATAACCTTGACCTTTGGTGAATTATATCTCTTTAATTGAATGTTATTTGTTTGAAAATAAATAAATTTGAATTGAGAACCATTTTCCTGAGTCGGTGACTATGTGATAATTATTGTGTTAGTAAACATGCTAGAATTTTAAAAGAATTTAATTAATAATGTTTATTGTATATGAACATAGATCAAATTATTGATTTTAATATGTTGTACATTGTATCATTATGAATGTAAATTCATCTCGCATAGTTTGGGGATGAGTCTGGAATGGAAAGGAAAGTGGAAACATCTCATATGATGTGTGTTGAGAAAAAGGGTTGAAAATAGTAATGTGAAATGTTGGATGGCAGGGATTACCTCATATCTAGGTCGTTAATGGATCTAGAGAAGACGTAGAGACATCATCTGCGTGTTGTTGAGTCACTGGGCCCCAAATGGCACCAGAGATTACAATGGGTCAGGGACAGATGAACAGTCTTCTTCTCGTGGAGCCGGGGATTACCCCGGGCAGGATACATTAATCATTGGGATGAGTGGTTGGTTATTGTCTTGGGAAAATGGGAAGTGACTTTGGCATTGGCATTAACATTGTATTGCACTTCATTTTATTATCTCACATGATATATATTATTCCCGAATATGTATGATCCCGTTATCGTATATCTGTTCTTTGCTTGGATTCATGGAAGCATTAAGGAGTGCACTTTAGACAATTCTCGCTAAGCTGTGGTTGCTCATTCCTATTTTATACACATCTTTTCAGTTCATGGCATGGATGGTGTGGAGGATGTTCCTCCTCAGCTGTAGACAGAGTCGGGACTGGTGTTGTGTGTGTTTATTTTGTATAATAGACAATGTATAATAGTAAGACAATGTGTTGTATAAAGTTAGTTCAGTACATCCCTGTTGTGTAATAAACTTTATTACAAACTCTTAGACTTTACAGTTGTAAATGATGTATCTTATTTGTACACTTTCTTGCATGGAATTGTATTAGAAAAAGAACAGGCGGATGATGTGTATGAGAGACAGGTTACAGGGATGTTAGTATTAGAGATTGGGGTTATTTGTGTGGTGTTCACAATCCAGGACTTAAGTCTTGGGGTGTAACAAAAATATAAAATAAAACTTAGATCAAACCCATTTTTTTGGATTAATCAGAAAGATTGTATTAGAGGATTTTTATTTTCTTTTTCTCTCTCCCGCGAAGATTATGTCTCTGTCTTTCCATTCTTTGAAACTTTATGTTGAGATTTGTGCACACATTGGTACGTGAAAGTACTCCATCTTTTGTTGCGTCGCCAACACCTCCCAACGCCAGCTGCCGCCTTGGTGTTTCTGGTGCAACCACACTTCCAACCGCCTTAGAAGTGTGTTTGATGTTGAGATTAGAGAGAGAGTTGCAAAATTGAGGCCAAAATGTAAATCTAATGTTAGTAATTAACAAATCGAATTTCAAATACAGAACTTCACCATGGAAGATGGAGAGGATTTTAGAGTTGTAAAAGAGTGCGGAGAATAATAGGATTAGGGTTAGGGGATAGAGTTTATCTTCTTTTGTTTGCCATGGCGTGTTGGTTTGTTAGGCCTTGGGGGGAATGCCCCAAGTATACTTGTATTTATCTTTTCCCTTTTATCATCCATACTTACTTACCGGAAAACAAAAAGCGTGCCAGGAACTCTAAAATTTCAAATGAAAATTCAAAATATATTCCAGATGAAAGATAGAATAGATCAGGCAATTAAATGAAGGTCTAGAATAACCACCTTCAAGATTCTTTTTTGCCTTTAGTAATGAAGGATTTGGAGTAATTGCACTGTAGGAGTGAATGTAAGAACTTGAAAGTGTCGGACTTGGAAAGTAAAGTGCATTAATGAAAATAAATAAAAGACAATTACAGGAATTGAAAATAATTAAAGTGTTGTTGAGTTGTGTGTGTTGAACATGATATGTAGGTTACATTGGTAGTTACGTTGATTTGATTAGAGTTTGCCAAATTTTCTACACCTTAGTCTTCTCATGGTGCTTACGCATGTGAAACCATGTTTTCTCACATTTTTTACTATTTTCCTGCACGACTTTCCACTTGTTCGGGAATAACTGCTCTTTCGCTTCCTCCACGTGTCCCATGTTCCAAATTTTGCTTACAACCCACATTTTGCCATTTTTGCTATTATTATACACAACATTCCACTGGAATAACCATCTGCCATCACGTGCCATTGGAATAACCTCTCTTCCGCTCGAATTCTGCCATGTGTCCCACTCAAAGGTCATGCATTCCACAATACATAAGCTTACCTCTTTTTCTTCCCGGGTCCCACTTGGAAGATATAAAATTCTAGAGGGTTACTTTTAACAAGGATTATAGGTTGTTACTTATACCAAATGGCTTCCTTAGATGAAGCCACGTATTGCTTTCTCATTGTATCCTTGTCTACACATTAATTTTTTATTGCAATTGGCCGCCGCATTGTTGTTCCATTGAAAAGTAATCAATAATTATGGTGTTAACGGTGTATTGCTCATGTTTTAGGTTATAATAAGAATATGAAAATGTTATGGGGAGAGTATCTCATCACAAGCTCGCCCCCTAACTATTATATGGCAAGGTGAGGTTAGTCTTTGACCCACAATAAGGTTGTTTCTACCTAATTATTTGTGGTGATGTTTGATATAAAAGTCACTAAAAAAAGAAACAAGTAAGATATTGAGTTACAATAATAAGAGCTGCTCAGGCAAAAATGACGAGGTAAAAATAGCAGTTACTATATTTAGACAAATATTAATCTAATGGTTTTATTTTTTCATGCCGACAATGATGATTACCTGTAACCTTTAAGTTGGCCTTAACCACAAAACTTCCTCCTCCAAGGCAATTCCTTTTCTTGTTATTTTAATAAAAATCGGGTTTTAGGTTTTTCTTTTACAAATTAATTTTCCTACATTCTCAGAAAAGAAAGACCGATCTGAAATAGACTGAAGAGAGATGATGACCAGCAACAACGATTATAATCTTTTGTCAAAAGATGTGATGACAGAGATCCTTTCGAGGTTGCCTTTGAAATCACTATTCCGGTTCAGGTGTGTTTGCAATGATTGGTATACTCTCATAAAAGCCTCTTACTTTATCGCCAAAAATCAACAGAAAAACAACATTCGTCTACTTGTTCACCATTACGATTACAAAATTTTAAGATATTGTGTGGGCATATTCCCTGATGAAACTCTTGGTAAAACGTCCCCTGTGTATTTCAATCTTGATGAACTCGGGATACAAAATTATCCTGATTGTCTTATTGGTCCCATTAATGGTATATATTGTGTATATGGTAGATATGAAGATCACATGTGTCTGTGGAATCCTGCTACAAACGAATTCAGGCACATCCCTCTACCTCGTCCAGACCTTCCATCCTATATCGCCGACTTCAATAATATTTTTGGATTTGGGTTGGATGTCATGACTAACCATTACAAGGTGATTTGGATTCGACAATTTTGGGATGATGACATAGACTGCCCATATGATCCTGAAACTATTTCAGTGTATAACTTATGTACGAATTCATGGCGGCTCTTTGACTATTATTTTGATACAATGCGTTCTATAAGAAATTCTTCAGGTAATGACACCTACATAAATGGAGTTTATTATTGGCTAACAGACTCCAGTTACAATGATTTTAGGATCCTTGCATTTGACCTGAATAATGAGAATTTTCGGGAATTACCAGCTCCTTCAGATATTCCAAAAACGCAATTTGGAGAACTTGCCTCGTACAGTGACTCGATTGCTATCATCATTTATCATCCAACCGAAATTGAGAATTATATTGACATATGGGTGATGAAGGGGGAGGGATTTTGGACCAAAATAATCACCACGGGACTCATTCTAGATATCTTAGCACCGCTTGGTTTTTGGAATGATGACCATCTTTTTATAAGAACTAGGAGTGCACACTTGATTTTGTACAACATTAACACCCTAGAAAGTAGGGACCTTGGCAATTATGGAGGAGACAGTGCCCTTCTAGTTCATAAGTTCAGGGAGAGCCTATTTTCACTGAAAGAAGGGGATAATTCTTTCAGTATGGGTCAACCTTAAACCCCATCTATTTAAATTAAGCATCCACCATTAATTTGGAGTGGGAAAGGGGTACTAAACAATAGAAGAATTTCCACTGTCTATCCGGTTTTTTATCCATCAGCCATGTGTTTTCAGGAGCAACAATGAGTCAAGGAGAAAAATATAAGGGAAATGTTTAACTAGTGGATACTGAATAATTTATCTTGTTATTTTGTTGTCTTCCTTTGTTATACTATGTTATTTTATATTTTTTTGTTGTATGAACCGTTGAAGGTGGACCTTGGCGTTAAACTTGCTCCATTATTACTCGTAGGTCAGTGGTGCTCCAGTGCACTGCGCTAGACCTTTCAACACATATTTTTTTTTTTTTTAGCTCTTTAGTTTGTTTCTGTTATTGTACTGTGTGTGATGGGCTCTCCATCTAATTTGTACATATTCTCACTTTCTTTTAATAACATTTACCTATCAAAAAACAGAACTTCTTGCTCTTCCTTTAATGGCTTTCTGGTTTAATAATTGTATGCCTTGAATAGCTTTATGATGTTATGTACAAGCATATATTATTGTGTGCAAGTGACGGAGAAGTCATTAGATTAATGTAGAAGTGAAAATTGCCTCAAAATATTTATCTACAAGGACAGCCTAGTTCCACTGGAGAAGGGACATGAATGCTGCGGAGGAGGATAGCCTAGTTCCAGTCAAGGGGGTTATGAGTGGCACGTAGTAAATTTGATCCAATACTTTTCAAGCTTAATACCTTTGTACATTTCATCCAGCTATCGATCATTGTGGAGTAGGATGGAGGGGAATATCTAGCAGTAGCAGAACTTTTCAGTACCCCCTTATTATCCTTCATGTATGTGTTTCTTAGAAACAACAATTAGGAGAACAGGAGTGGGAAGCTACCAATGGTCACTAGCTCAGATGCTGTAAGCTCTTCTCCCCAAATGGGGAGGTTTAGTGTTCAAGACTCTGTGGAGACATAATATATACAAGTTGGATGTGTGTTTACTTGAACTTTTAGGGAAAAAAAAAAAAAAAAAAAGAAGAGTGGGAAGATAAATGCTTATTTTTCAAGGCACTAAATAATTCTTATTATATTCATGTATTGGATTCCTTTGATGTACTTAGCTAAATCACATGTACGTTGTCATACAGTATATACGTCCAAAGGTGTGTGATCCTCTCGCTCTTCATTCAATTCTAAGTTATCTCATGTTCAGTAAAATGTATGACTTTAATGGTTAATTTCTGAAAATAATGTGCTTATATTATTTTAATTTTCTTTCATTTGCTTATGCTATTTATTTATTTATTTTTTCTCTTCTCTCATTACTTTCTGGTCTTAGGCTTATGTTTTGGTCCCAGAATTTGTTTACAGAAAGAGCTCGATCTGATTATCTTCCCCTATTGTAAATAGGATATCTTGCTGATTCAGAAAATTAGTTATATGTCTCCAAATGCTTGACTTTTGATATTAGTAACTATTACACCAAACTAATTAATCCTTACCCTTCACCAGATATGCAAGGAGCTGACTTGAATAAATCCTTCTCGATCAAAAAGATTAGCATCAACTGGAATAAAATATCCTATTACATCCTTCTGCCTACATTGAAGTATTGTCTTGCCATGTGAGTATTTGGCCAAGTACGGGCCGGTCTTTGCAACTGTCTAGTCATATATACCACCTTTCATTTTTGTTGAGGTTATGCTAGCTATTGCAAACTACTTTACAGCAATGTTGCCTGTCTAATGAGAACTCCCAAATCTGCCCTTGGCTTTCTCTTCTTCATGTTCAAAGACCACCAGCTTTAATTATGGACTTAAAAAAAAGTTAACAAATCTCTTTTGCCTGTTTTTTTGAGCTTAGGGAGTACATGCCTATGAGCTAAGTCATACAAAGCGGGTATGGGAACGAGAGTGAATTTGAGAGCGGGAACGCGAAAGTGACAATTAAGTCACAAACAGTGAGAATGGGAGCTAGAGCGCACACAAAACGTGAGAGCTGGAGCACGCTAGGAGCGTGAGAACGGCACCCGTTGTAAAGGATTGTGTCACTTAGCCTATGAGACCAAATCGTACCTCTTCAAAGCGCCTTTTTAAATCCATAATACTAGCCTTAAAATTAATATATTAAGAAGGCTGTCTATCTTGATGCGGTGTTGCAACATAATTGCGCTACATGTAGTTTTTAGGAGATTTTCATATGGAAAGCACACCATCAGAGCCGGCCCTGAGATTGAAAAAAATTTTAGAGGCCCTAGGCGAACTTTAAATGTGAGGCCCCTGTACATAAGTTTCACACGCCCAAATTTATTTTATTTTATTTTATTTTATTTATGAAAGTGCGAAATTTTCATTAAAGTAAATGTGATCGTCTTGCATTTTTAGCTGCAAAATTATCAATTAAAGTGCTCAAATCAACTTTCTCCAACATATCTTTTTCAATAGACAAGATAACCAATCCATTCAATCTCAATAATACTCGCCTCCAATGTTCTCTATCTTTGTTGATTTTTTCTTCCACACTTTTTATCGATTGTTACATTTTTTTGTAATATGATTTCTAATTCAATCCAATTCCCAATGTTAACAATGTGTTCACGACTAGTCTCGTGACTTTTAAGTTTATCCCAAAGATATTTCCCGTCATTCACTCCTTCATTTGCCAAATGAGTTTTGTGTTCGTTACATTTAAACAACTTACAACAAAAGCAATAGACTCTGTCCAAAGAACTCGAATAGATTAGCCATCTCTTATCATATTTTTCACCGTTTGACAAGTGTCGAATGTAATATGTAGAAGAGAAATGTCTATTTTTTGAATTTTTAGAAAAAATTTCAGGTTTAGCATCTCTTGGAGGACCTCTTTCAACTAATAAATCTCTCATTTTTTTATCAATATCTTTTCAATTTCCTGGATCATTAATACTCAAAGGAAGATTATCATTCTCATTCATATATTCTTCATTTGCCAAATCTTAAAGTTCATTCACATGTTCTTCATTTTGATTTTCTATCTTCATTCATTAAATCTCCATGTTTATTAAGATTTTCTTCATTCCTATGTTCTTTCTTCACTAAATCTTCAAGACTTCAACTAAACTCTCAGTTTGTGCATTGTTCCTAAAAAACTTATGAATAGCACCATTTTGAGATTCAATCAATTCTTCTTCTCTTTCTTTTTTTTTTTCTTTTCTTTTTTCATACCCAGATTTAAATTTTCTTGTAGACATAATTGTCAAAAATCTTGCAATCTTAGAAATCTAATTAACAAGAAACACAATCAATATAAAACTAAACTTTTAAAAAAAAAATAATAATTTGCTGAAAGAAAATATAGATTACCTCAATCTTAATAGCTCAATATGCAATCATATGATTTACAAAAAAATAAAAATACCTTATGAGAAGTCTAAATGATAAGTCCTCAACTCCCTGTATTACAACAAATTCATTTGTCAAACAATACTTCCATTATTTCCGTAAGAACAATTGATATAGATTTAAGTTCATCAAAATAATTTTTTGGTTTAAGATCTAAATTAAGTTCATAAAAATAACAACTTGAAAACTTGAATTAGAGTTAGAACTTAGATGTAGAAAAGAAAACTTATAGTGTTGTTGCCATTAATTGAGTGTGTTGATAGGGATTGATGATGCAGATGCAGAGTTACGAACTCGGAAAAAAAGGAATAGAGAGAGACTGAGAGAGAGCTCAGACTTTAAGAGAGACTGAAAAAGCTTCTGTCTTCTGATTGTTGTCGTTGGTTGCAGAGCAGATAGAGAGAGGGAGTAAGCTTGAGACTTGAGAGGTGAGGTTAAACTAAATTTGCCCTAAATCTGATTGTTGCTGCATTTGCCCTATTTTATTTTATTTTTCAATGGCCCATCATATTCTTGCTGCATTTGGAGGCTGGCCCATCATTCTTGCTCTTTTTTGACAGCCTAAATTTGGAGGCGAGTTTCAATTACTACGGTTTAGTTATAATTTTTTATTTTTATTTTTAGTGGCCCATCATTCTTGAGGTCCCTTATTTGTTGCATTTTGGTTATAATTTTTTTTTTGATAGCCCAACATTCATGGTCCTATAAAATTTGAGGCCCCTTTTTCTTTTGTAGCCCATCATACATGGGCGTATAAAATTTGAAGCCCCCAAAATTCTAAGGCCCTAGGCGACTGCCTTGGTCGCCTTAGGTTGAATTTCACAATTCGACGTTGCCAATTTAAAATCCCTAGCAACGGTGCCAAAAACTGACCGGTCCTTTACAAGGGTCGCGATACCAAGTTAAGCTTAAAGAGTTGTGAATTTAGGGGGTGGCCAAGTTTTAAATTTATAGAAAGACACTACTACCTTTCTCTATATAAAATATAGATAGGGCGAGTAGGGATCATCCCAAGGGATTTGATGGTGTATCGAATTGTGAAACTATGGTAATTAGGGTTAGTAGGTCGAGTGATCACACAATTGATTGGTTGGTTGATTAAGCTAAATTGAATTCAACTAAATAAAATAATATGAAGTAAACAAGAGAGAGAGAGGTCTTGGGGTGTAGAGATCACCACCAAGCAATACTTTTCTATACTACTAACAAGTGATCAATTGAGGGTAATGGATGTGTTGCAATATGATAAGGGTGTGTGTGCATTAGGTTGATTCAATTGGCAAGGATGACAAATCAAGCAAGTATTGTCTAAACATCATGTGAAAAGCACAATATATCTAAACAATAGAGCATATATTGTCTAGAGAACATGGGGATAGCACAATAGATCAAAACAAGTCATTAATCCTTCATTAAGCTCACAATCCACATACAACACAATATTAGAGGAATATACCATTTGGACTCACAAGTATGGAACATCAAACATCAAGAGTAGATTGCCCTCCCATCTAACATTACACTACCACTACACTAAATCTACATTACTAGCATGAAAATAAAGCTATCTAGACTAGGGGAGAGGCACAAACCATTAAGAATAGGCATAAACCATCAAATGAACCAAA